CCGGCGCCCCGCGCATTCCCCCCCCCCCCCCCCCCGGCGTCCTGATTGGCCAGAAAGTCGTCGGCTCCATGCTTCCTAGTCACCTGGTGAGCATGGAGACGGGTTCCAGGCTAATCAGGAAGATGGGCGGTGAGTCATTACACGCCACCCGGCTTCTTTAATGGGACATTCTGTAACGGCAAGTACCGAAAAAAATATTGGTACTCTTTACCGAAAAACCGGTATCTGTGCATCCCTAGTTTTAACCACCTCAATACAGGGCCTTCTTTTTCAGGCTTTTTTTCAGTCAGATGTTTGACTGGCAAGTACTCCATAATGCAGTAGTGTACCCATGTCAACTTTTTTTGTTTTTTTGCGACGGGGCTTTCTTGGTACCAATAAATAACCACTGTTTTTTTCTGGGGGTCTTTAACTATAGAAAGCAAACAAAGATGCACATTTTTTTTGGGGGGGGGAATGGTTTCTCGTTATAAATCAGATCAAATGAGAATGCCTGGGCTGTAAAAATACCCTAAAAAAAAAAAATAATATATATAATTTTAAGCAGACATCATGAATGAGGAAACATGCTGGAATTGAGGTGGTTAATCACAATTGGTGATGATTTGGCCCAAACACCTGCTAAGCTGAATTACCTGTTTGTTCAGGAGCCTTTAAGGTGTGACTGTCTGCGGATAATCACGTGAAGTAATGACATCCAACTGCTTTTGTTAATGTTCGCTCATTTCCTGCTCTAATCTGAAACCATAATCAAAGTATTGTAAGGATTCACATTGGCTTTCAGTTGGCATAAAAGCAGAACAGTCATTTTATATAATCGTGCTTGCGGGAAGCTGCTCGTCGGGCTCCACCGTCCTCTCGTCGTGGACGAGTGGATTTTTCGAGCCCTGTATATAATCTTGTCACCAGTCTACATAATGAGTATATTTGCATTCATGGGTGAACAATTTGTTTTGCCTTCTGAATTCCAGTTCACTGGGCTTGCACTGACAGACTTGTTTGTAAGGTGGGTAAACAAATAAAAGGAGAATATTCTCAAGGAGGATCTTCTGACCTTCCAGTGTACTAGAAGAGGTTGTGGGTAATGTTGGAGTAGAGGTTGTACACTATGGGTTCACTTTTAAAAAATTAAACCAAGGTCTTCTGTCAGTGTTTTTATATTCAATCTTTAGCCAAGTAACCCTGTCTAGAGTTGCATTTTGGGTAGATGGACACTTCCATATCTGTAGGCTGCTGTGCCCCTCTCGAAACTGACCGCCAAAAATCGTTTAAGTAACTGGTCTGTAAAATAATGGGAGGTGCAACCAAGTGCCATTGATCTTGCTGCCTAACTGGTTTGTTTAGACTATTATGGTGACCACCCTACTTGCTATTGAACATGTTGTGTTCCTCAAACCGTTCTTGAATCATTTTTTCAGTGTGCCAGGGCACATTATCCTGCTGAGAAAGGCTACTGCCTTCAGGGAATACCGTTTCCATGAAGGGGTGTACTTGGTCAGCAACAATGGGTAGGTGGTATGTGTCAAAGTAACATTCACATGAATGGCAGGACCCAAGGTTTCCCAGCATCTCTTCCCCAGATAAACAGCACACAGGCACCCGGCCAGCCACATGATGTAAAGGAAAACGTGATTCATCAGACCAGACCACTGTCTTCCATTGCTGCGTAGTCCAGTTAGTTCTGAAGCATGGGCACCCTGCAGCTACACAGTCCCATACACAACCAACTGTGTTGCACTTTGTGTAAAGATAAATATGTCCCTTTTATTGGACAGAAAGCGTCAGACATCCAAATAAACCGATGTTTCGGGACCACGCAGGGTCCCTTCCTGAAGGCAGAAAGATGTGTCACATCTTTCTGCCTTCAGGAAGGGACCCTGCGCGGTCCCGAAACGTCGGTTTATTTGGATGTCTGTGACGCTTTCTGTCCAATAAAAGGGACATATTTATCTTTACTACTGAGTGCTGGTGATTTCCTGACTTTCCTGCACTTTGTGTTCAGACACCTATCTTTCAGATCCAGCATTCACTTTTTCAGCAATTTGAGCTATAATTGCTCTTTTGGATCGGACTACACAGACCAGCCTTGGCCATCCATGACGCTTCTGGTAGGTCCTGACCACTGTAGACCATCCCACAAGAGCTGCAGTTTGCGTTGCTCTGACCAGGTTGTCTAGCACTCAAAATTTGGCCCATGTGAGTTGCTCAAATCCTTATGCTTGCCCTGTTTTTTCTGCTTCAGGGACAATGTTCACTTGCTGCCCAATATAATCACATCTAGGTGCCATTAGTAATGAGATAATCAATGTTGCTGACTTTACCTGTCAGTGGTCATAATGTTATGGCTGATCGGCATGTCATTTATTTGTATTCAATATATAATTTTTTTCTTTATTTTTGTTGGCAGTTTCTTTATCAACCCTGGAGATGTTAGTGTTCCTTTAAAGATTAATGTGTTGCTTTTCTGGCTAACTTGTTTTTACATATTCTCAAGCAGCCATTGATGGAATATATGTAGGTCTTGTTCAGTGATGAGCATGCCGAGGGATAGGAAACAAATGTATATTTAATAAGCTGCTAGATGGATGTGAAAGCCAAAACCTTACAGAAAGTTTCCAGTGATGAGTCCAGGTAGGTGAGGATTACTTCAAGTTCCACTAACCTTTACCTACTCTCATCCTTTCAACAGGTGTTCTGGAAGAAGCCGAGTTCTACAATATCACATCGTTAATTAAACTGGTAAAGGACAGAATAAGAGAGAGGGACAGTAAAACATCACAGGTGAGGCTTTGTGTTGTATTGGGGGTGGATTTGGTCCAGGAAGGCCCATTGTAGAATAAGTATGGTCCACTTAAACTTTCCATAGTTAGTATCCAGAGCCTGATAGCTGTACCAGGTACTGTGGTATATGTAGACTGTTATAATTGTCTTTTTATCTTTGAACCATATCATGCTCTTGTCTGCTACTTTAGGCTTACGTTTAGCCTGTGATAAGCACATTGCACTGGCCTCTATTTTTAGCTGTAGTAATGTCTTGTATTTAAGTGTAAGGTCAAATGGGGATATGGGTCAGACTGACCCAAGCGTGCTTCTATTTTCAGCCATGACATTGACAGGCCAACTTTTCAATAGGCAGGCTGAAATGGGACCAGCTTGGCACAGAGTTGTGATATAAATATCTGCCTCATGTAAAAAGTTGTTCTTTGCCAATGAATCATATATTGTAGTTAATTTGTTTGCAAGTTTTTCGGGTACTCCTTTTTGTTTTATCAGGTTTTCAACAACCATAGCATACCTATAGTAATATATAACATTTATTTTTCCTTTCCTTCTCTCTTTTTTTACTCCTTTTTTTTCTTTTCTTTCTCACTGACCTCTTTTTGCTTCCTATCAAAGTTGCAGAGCAGCAAGTTAAAGGAATGTTGGGGAACGAAGCATTAAAAGCCTCCCAGAGGTTTTTACACTTGTGTGACACTACATAAGTTTGGCTTTAGTGTTAGAGCCCTATTGGATGTTCAGTTTAAAGCTGCTAATTTCAGGTGCATCAAAACAAAAGATGTTCAAAGACTGTTATGGGTTTGTTTGTGGGGGTTTTTGTTGTAAATTCTTTATTTATACAAAGTTGTGTTTTTTTTTTTGTTTTTTTTTAAGCATTCAGAAATAATAAAATCCAAAAGATACTGCAAATTCACCCATAGGCTCAAGAAGGACCTAATTAACCAGTTGACATCCGCGGTGTTAAACCCCCTTCCCATCCAGGCCATTTTTCAGTATTCAGCGCTGCGGTACTTTGACTGACATTTATTCCGTCATGCAGCGCTGTACTGAAATGAATTTTATACCCTTTTTTGGGGACAGATAGAGCTTTCTTTTGGTGGTATTTATTCACCACTGGGGGTTTTATTTTTTTACTATATTAAGGAAAAATTACCGAAATTTAAAAAAAAAAACAGTTTCCCCTATATTAAATGATAAAACATTTATTATTACCCAATTTTTTGGTAAAATATAAAAGACGGGGTCACGTCGGGTAAAAAGACACTAAACATGTCAAGCCTTAAAATTGCGTGCGCGCGCGAAACCTCAAAAAACGATAATACCCAAAATTGGCCCTAGGCGACGCTTTAAAAGCTGTTACCGCTCATCAGTTTAGTGTTATCAGTGATTGATGGCCCTAAAATGATTGCTCTCACTGCGACGTTCGCGGCGATATGTAACGTGTAGCACAATTGTCATTTTGTCCGAAAAAACGAGCACATATAGACGATCGGCGGGCTATGGAGCCACCGATCGTCTATATGTGAAACACCCGGTAACGGGTGTTTGCATTGGTCGGGTCTTTCTTTTCTGCCCGTGCGTGCCCGCTAGGGGGCACGCGCGAGCAGACAAAGATGCCGTCTGGCGACGGCAACCCGCCAATGCTGCAGTGCCGTCCGTCCGTTTTTTTACAACGGGCGGACGGCAAGTGGTTAAATGCGAACACGTAATGGGGAATGCGAATAGTGTACTGAAAATTTAAGGAAATAATATATATACATTCCAATAATATGAGCAGTTACAGTGAGATTAATTTTAAAGTAGAACTATGGGGTTAGGGCTTTTCCCCATAGTTCTCTGGGTAACGGGAGGACACAAACTAGCGTCCTCCCGGCACCCTAAGCTCAGTATACTGCGAGCTACAACAGCTGGCTCTGTATTTCTAGAGGCAGATCCAGCTATACCCGCCCCCTCCCTGTCCGTTCCGCCAGTCAGCGCTGGAGGATCGGTGCGGGGAGGGGGGAATCCAGCCCCTCCCCTGTCACGGCAGGGAGCCGTGACAGGATCGAGAAGTGAGCGAACGCCGGTATGTGTTCGCTCACCTCACGATCTACTGAGCCGACCTGTGACAGTCTCATTGTCACAGGTCGGCTAGAACTATGAGGTGAATGAAAAGCACTCGCCTCATAGTTCTCCTTTTTAAAATAACCATCCAGGTTCATCGCCATATAACAGCTGGTATAGCGACATGTGATCATGAATCAGGTTATCTCATCTAGTGCATCCGACAGTGTGCATAAAGGCAAAAAGTACATCCAAGGGGACCAGGAAAAGGGTGTTGTGTTTTTTTGTTTCCTAACGCAGCCACATCATTAGAAAGCCTGGCCACTGCAACTGCAAAGTGCAGCTCTGCTACTTGGTCTCTGTGGAAACGGCAGTGGTCCTATTGCAAAAAGAGTCAGAGGTGTAGCTTTGCAGCAAACAGAGCTTGTGTTACCTGCTGATTAGAGAGCTGTGGCTGTGACTCAGCAGGGGGCATGTCTGACATCTGCAGAGTGACCACTGCTTCCACACCGAAATTGAGAGTTGTGCTCTACAGCATGTTGGTAGGGGACTGACTATTGTACTTAGGCTGTGGCTAATTTTAAGCAAAACAAGCTCTAAGACCTTGCACATTTGTTTTGATGCGCCAAGAATGTATATATCCAGCTTAGACTAAACGTTCAATTGGGCATTAATATTGTGTAGAATATTTGCCTGCAGGTGACTTCCTTATTTCCTTATTTTTCCTGATGCCCTGGAATGCAGGGTGCACTGTAAAATGCTGGCTTTAGATAAAAAGTTAAAGATCAACTACCCCCCCTCCTCCCTGCACCCCAATAATATTTTGTGAGGCTACCAATTACAGGCATGGGCCAATAGCAAGATGTGGGTAGGGCTGTAGGATACATTCAGCTTCTTAGCTGAAGTTGATATCTGAAAAGCAGCGGTTGCATGAAGTGTTCCAAGTGTTAGTTTATTCAGAAGAATGGTATGTACGTGGCTCCAGCTGGTGACAGAACCAAAAAGAGGGGAATCTCCCCATAGAGCAGGGGTAGCCAAACTCCAGCCCTCCAGCTGTGGTGAAACTACAAATCCCATGAGGCATTGCAAGATGCTCACAGCCACAGACATGACTCTCAGAGAGATGCATCACAGGATTTGTAGTTTCACCACTGGTGGAGGGCCAGAGTTTGCCTACCCCTGCCATAGAGGAAATCTTACCTTATTACATCTGTCACTGGAACCAGCATCTCCATTTATTTATTTATTTCCCCCCCTGAACACAGTAATTCTGTTTACAACTGTGACATTTTAGGATTTCTCCTTACGCTGACCATACACAGCTTGAATTTTTAAATTATTCCTGGCCGTTTGAGCTGGCCATACATGGCTTGAATGTCAGTGGATTCCTGATGAATAATTGGCTGCAGTCACTGTTTGGCAACATTTTCAGACCGACTCTTTAAAATATGACTGTGAAACAGACATTTTCAAACACGGGAGCTCTGGCTGGGCCACACAAGTCGTATATTGGCTGAGTCAGCAGGACTTGGTGTGAAATATGACCAGTGCATGGCCAGCTTTGCTTTAGAGAAAACAGACCGCAAGCAGTAAAAACCCGTCCGCTTCTACCCCCTTCTTCCTTCAAGAATTCTGTGCAGTGTTAAAGGAGAACTATGGGGTGAAGGCTTTTCCCCATAGTTCTCCTAAGGGTAACGGGAGCACACAAACTAGCGTCCTCCCGTCACCCTAAGCTCAAAATACTGCGAGCTACAATTCGCAGTATACTGAGACACCGCAACTAAAGCGGATCCCAACAATTATGTCTGGATCCGCCGAGCTGCGTGACTGACAGCTGGCTCTGTATTTCTAGAGGCAGATCCAGCTATACCCGCCCCCTCCCTGAGACCCCACCGTATACCGCGAGTGGTTTACTGAGACGCTGAAGTGGATCGGGACAATTATGTCTGGATTCGCCCAGCTGCGTGTTTGACAGCTGGCTCTGCCTATCCAGAGCCAGCTGTTCCCGCCCCCTCCCCTGTCCGTTCTGCCAGTCAGCGCTGGCGGATCGGAGCGGGGAGAGGGGAATCCAGCCCCTCCCCTGTCACGGCAGAGAGCTGTGACAGTATCGAGAGGTGAGCGAACGCCGGTATGTGTCCGCTCACCTCCTGATCTACTGAGCCGACCTGTGACAGTCTCATTGTCACAGGTCGGCTAGAACTATGAGGTGAGTGAAAAGCAATCACCTCATAGTTCTCCTTTTAAGTGTTTGTGTGTTAGATTTAAAGGACGTCCCAAAACCATTGGCGTTTTTGCTTCAGATTACTGGCATGTCAGCATAAATCTAAAAAGTGAAAGACATTGCAGAAATTGCTATCTGCCTACTCCTTTAAAAGTTTCAAATGTTTGCCGAAATTCTCTTCCCCCAATAGTTCTTTGTGCCCCAGATTTTGCAGTATCCTGCAAAGCACATTAAATTCTGCTTTGACTCTTCACATCAACAGTTTGTTCTGTGCTTGCTGGCATTTCAGTAAACCGAGGCAACGAAAATGCACAAAATGTTCCATAAAAGGAAGTCCTCTGCAGCAGATACGGGACAACATTAACAAAGTGCCCTCAGTATATATTTTATCTGTACCAGAACAGACAAAACACTCATTGAGCCGAGATTATTTACGTCAGCCAGATAATGAATCTCCAATTTAGCTGTGGCAGTTAATACAAACGGCATCTGCCCTGACACATAGATCCGCAGAACACCAACCCATGAAGGAGGTTCCTTTACTTGATGGGGATCAGTGAAAGGGTTTGTGTTAATGGACGGAGTGATGCAAGCAAAGGCTAGCAGGGACGGTTAGCGTCAGCAGATGAGTGTACAGTAAGCTAAGGGAATTCCTGGCCAGGAAATCTCCTGAGCTAATTAGCACGATTTGTGGCTTAAATCTTTATAGGGAGAAGATGATTAGAGGGTTTGACAAGCTGCGGATGTGTCTCTCATTAGTAAACTTGTATACTGTCATTCGGACCATGGGTCATTTGACTTCTTCTTGAAAAGAGATCCATAAAACACACAGCAATGTTGTGGACACTTTTGCAAAGTTCCATCTTCTTTGATTGTATTAACAAAAGTGGCGCACAAAAGAAGCCCTTCAAAACAATCTGCTACCCAGAGTTTTTAGCAGTCAAACAAACACATTTTTATGTGGGAACGCCTTTCATTTGGCACTGGTTTTTATCTTTTTGGTAGCTCAGGAAAAACAAATTGCCCGCATGGGTGTTGTTGGATTTTTGTTCTGATACGAAAGTATAACCGTACCAGCTGAATTCCACGCAGAAGTATTCAGTAATATGTGGAAAGGTCCTTTTAAATGTCGTCTTTGTATAAAGTTGGCCTCCCACTCACAATCTCATTCCTTAGTTATTCTTGTCCCCTTTACTTCTGTTTTCTAAGTCCGGTGGCCGCTATGCACCCTAATCGCCCAACTTCTGGTCTTGTAACTTCCCTTCTTCTAGGTTTGTTGTGCGTTTTTAATTTTGTAATTTTCTTTTTAGTAAGCAGTGAAAAATTTACATTGCTGCTGGTTGTAATTGGGCTGACTTTGGCATTTGACTGCCGCCCTGTCCCGCCCAACTAGATTACGTGGTTTGAGTGACCTGCCAGAAGACTGCTGGTGTGTGTCCCATTCACTATGACCTCCCACTGTGACTGACAGGCCAAGAGCCTCCTGGTCTGTCTCACCCACCTACACCTGCGATTGGCAGGGTTTACATCACAACATATCTGCCCACATCCTGCCTAATCACAACTACAATTCTCATTGCACGTTGGGGGAATTGCAGTTTCTACTAGGGGTGCAACACAATGAGTGGATTTTACATATCCATCACCATGATACCTCCTCCACGATGGAGTGATCACGTCACAATTTTATAAGGTCCATTTCTACTAAATGGTGAAGCGCTATTGAAAACAAAATTAGAAACTTTCTAATTTGCATACATAAAACACTTGTGGAGCAAGTTTACGTGTATACTGGAGTTCAGCTTTAAAAGAGAACTATGGGGTAAGTGTTTTTCCCCATAGTTCTCTTAAGGGTCACGTATACTAGTGTCCTCCCGTGACCCGAAGCTCAGTATATCGCATGCTACAGCTCGTGGTATACTGAGAGCGCCGCAGCGGGACGGATCCCGCCAATACTGTCACTATCCACCCAGCTGCTTGAAAGACAGCTGGCTCTGCCTATCTAGAGGCAGAACCAGCTGCACCCGCCCCCTCACTGTCCCTTCCTCCACTCAGCGTTGGATGAGAGGGGAGGGGTGAATCCCTGCGGAGAGCGGTGACTGACGGTCACCACTCTGCAGGGAGACGATCGAGAAGTGAGCGAGCGACTATGTGTTCACTCCCTGATCTATTCAGCCGACGTGCGACAGTTTTATTCTCACGTCGGCTCAAACTATGAGGGTGAGTGGTTTTCTCTCACCTCATAGTTCTCCTTTTAAATATGGACAATGATGATGTGTGTTGAGATGCCCAATCAAAATGAATAAAACGGATATAAGCTAAAAAAAAAAATGATAGTATATTACTGAATACTTCTGCCTGGAGTTCAGCTGGTATTTTGGTCACGGTAGGTGAATGTAAGAAGGTGTTAGGTGAATCAGCCATCAACCTCCTATCCAAACCTACAATTGGTTTGGGTGGCTGATAAAAACCCATTCATGAGAAAAATGTGGACGATCAAGGCTGGCCTTCTGTATAATGCTAGTTGCCTGGCTACTGCAGTACTTCATGCATGCTACTTCTGGCTCATCAACTGCTAGAACTCATCACCTGTACTCTCATTTTGGTTGGTGAGTTAGAATGCAGTGCCAGAGGGGGTCAGCATGAGTGAGATGGCTATCATCACTGTTCTAAGTGATCAGAAATCCTGCTGGGTAATAACCAGAGTGACCACGGTAGTTGCAGGACAGATATTGGAACAAAAAGAGCCAGGTGGAACCTTTTTTGTGCAGACACTTTTCCGGTGCCTCTGGGGTAAGGTAAGTGGGAGCTGTAGTAGCCATTCCTGACCATTTCTCTTTAGCCCGTGCTATAATACACTTACACTTTATTGCTTTTGTCTGCCCCCAATTAAGAGGTGTGTGGCTAGCATTGGTGCCCGTATTGGCTGCAGCTAAGTATGAGCTTGTCAATAACTATTCATCTTTTTCTGTCCACTGCCAGGTGCCAGTTAAACATGTTTACAGAGTGCTGCAGTGTCAGGAGGAAGAGCTCACTCAAATGGTCTCAACGATGTCTGATGGCTGGAAGTTTGAGCAGGTAAAGTCATGAGTCATCTACTGTGTATTCATTTAGTTTTATAGAATATTTCATTTGTATTTATAATCCTTTTTGACAGCAAATACAATGACGCATTAACTGCCCGCTTTTGGCAAACTATTGTAATTTAAAAATAAAAGAATCTCTTATGTGAACTGTGGCTGCGTGTCTTAGTCTAGAGCTGCTGTACAGGAAAGTGTCTAATTGCAGGGGGACCTTTTTATTAGTGTCACATGTTTTGTGGATGGCTTAAACTGTATGGTAACGGTAACTGTGTCCTCAGCACACTTCCGGTTTTATCTCGGGTAGTGTAATAAGCCCTCCTACTTCTTATCTTGGGACTGATGAATGGTTAATATCTATGCTGTGAAGATAGTGTAGTTTAGCTAAAGCAGATCAACTGTTATTTTCCTATACTTGCAGAGATAAAACATGGGGCAGTGTGCATGTATTGCAGAGATGAACAGCATTTTTTTCTTTTGTCCTACCATGCACTTCAAGCCCCTTTTATTGGTTTAAATCTCCCATAGTTTTCAGGCTATAGGCCCGATCTGACCAATGTTGAAGGGGTGCACAGTCAAGATTGGGTGATTTTGTATGGCATAATTTCTATATCAGCCACTAAACTTCTCATTGTCCTCATTGCCAGACCATGTGGATTAGTTGTATACATAGCCTGCCCTTCTTTTAAGAGGATGAGCAACATAAGTTCTAACATTGGTTAGGCTCATAAAAGGAGCCATAAGGAATACAGTCTGCTCTATGCTTTTAGTTTTTCATCTTGGCAATGCTTGCTTATTAAAGGACTTCATGCTGTGAACAGGCTAGCAGCACACCTTAAAGCACAAAAGTGTACCTGATTTCCCCCCCATGCATTGCAACACATGTGCATTGTGGTGCCATTGTAGTGTGGATGTATTGCCACTACCTATTAACCGACACCATTGTGGTGCATTTGTTACCTCAACATATAGTAAAATGCATGTTTTAACACACGGTATTGTAATGGCAAGATCGAATGGGATCTGATACCTTTCATTATCTTATAGCTTTACGGTGGGTTTATATCTTACAGCTTAAAGAGACCCTGTCACAGGGCTCTAAAAATGTAAAAACTAGGGATGCACCGATACCAAGTACAGTACTCGGTACAAGTACAGATATTTTTCAAGCTCCAAGACTAGACTAGAGAAAAATTCAAAAGTTAGCAGGTAGCTGTCTGGAGCACTAGAGCCAGGTCCCAGCTGCAACCCTGGTAGTTCTCATGAAAATGGCAAGTATCGGTGCATCCCTAAAAAAAAAAACCTTTCTCTCCTGCAGTAGAAGATGCTGTATACTCTCCTCTCTAGCAGCTCATCCATCGCTTAAGCCTATTAGGAATTCAGCACTTTGGGCACTGTTGAATACCTATGTCAGCCACCGCTTGCTGGATTTTCCCATTCCTCACCGGAAGGAACGAGTGTACTGTGGGGGGTGGAGGTGTGGGGGGTGGCGGGTTCACAAGTATCTGACACTCACAACAGTTTGAAGTCAGAGGCATTCTGAGGCTGCGGTGCTGGTTAGGAGATGTAGAAGGAAAGGGCCCCTGGAGAGGGGAGTTTACCGGGTGTTCTGTTGCAGAAGGCAAAAACCTGACGGGTCTCTTTGTATGTGATCCTTACAGGTATATTGGGACTATACATCTTAAAATGTGATGGTGCCTGGGACATTTTTTGTTTTTAAGCCAATGTTTTCCAAAATGCTACTGTTTGTGACACCTGATTGGTCTAATTTCATGTTTCTTCATTACCTGAAAGCCATTTTGTGAATCATGGGAAGTCTAGTTTAGGATAGCCCAAAATCTGTTTTGTGAGGAGTCCCTTAGTATGTTGTAGCTGATAGAATGACGAGTAGGAATGTCAACTCATGTCTAGATGCTTTCATTGTTCTCTTGATTTACTTGTATGGCTCGGTATGTGTTTTTCCAGCGTAGTTACTATGCATTTACTGTGGTTACAGTTTGTCAGCATAGGTTCCATTTATGGATGCAGGCGGGACCGTCAGTCAGAGTTTCTGCTCATTGTTTCGAGGGAAGTAAAAGGGGAGGAGACCAGCCTCCAGAAATTCAGCGGTGAGGTGTGTCCAATACTGCACACGGCTCTGTATTCTCTCCTCTTCTGTACCCTTTATGTACACATGCATGGCCTTACCTACTACCTGTTAACTGTGAGCAGAATGCCAATAGGGGCCAGCATGTTTTGAACCCATTGTCCTGCTGTGCTTGGTTATGGCTCCCCCTCTGTCTCCTGTATTTTACTTCTGAATTCAAATCACAGCCTAAAAACTATTTTTGTCTGCTTAGCTATTTTTTTAAATTGTATTAACAAACTCCCTCTTAGTCAATCCATGGCTGACTTTAAAGAATTCCTCTAACTATATGGAAAGCCACAGGTTGTCCCTTGACGGCAGTCTCCATGGTGTAGTTTACAACTCTCCGCCACCTTCCTGTTAACTGCCTCGCTTAATAGACCTCTAATACAGTTTACTAAGGAGAGGTGGAGGGCTTATTGAATGCTCCTTTTAAAAATGACAGCTGGCACCCAACATTTTGAGGTTTTCTCTAGAACTTTTGAATGGGGGGGGAGGGGAATTGTTGGATCCTGGATTGGAAGACTGGCTTTTGAATTTCATATTAATTTGTACACCCCTGGTTTCAAGAGACAACCTGCCTGGGATTTAAGGCATCCATACATGAAATGAGAATCCTTTTAAATGTAATGCTTCTGGCCCTGATTTTTATTTATTTTTTCTTTATGGAAAGCTATTAATAGTGTTTAATGAATGTACAGCTGGCCTCAAGTAATGCTCAGGTTTACACAGAAGTAGAGAAATGGACAGTCGGAAATGTAATTTAGGCTTGAGTCATCTTGTAGCAAGTGTAAGGTCTGTTTAGAAAACTCAATTACCTGACCAATCTTTTTAGTATGCATCTCAAAAAGATATCCAGCAGTAAATTGTGAAACTACTAAATGACGCTCACTATGGAACTTGTGCTTGCAGTGAGAGAATGAGGATACCAGAAAGAAGTAAAATTGTTCTATAGTGTAGAATGCTAATAAGTTGATCAATTGGGAGGTTGTTCTGGATATATTAAAAAGGTGTGTTGCTTGAAGCCATTGTTGTTCAGCAACAGATTTTGGGTGTGAAGGATATATTTGTCTCCACGTAGACTTTTGTGGTGCTGTCAAAGCTTCGGCATGTTCCTAAATCTTATTGGGGCTCTGACTGTTTTGGTCATGGTTCTGGAGAAGGCTTTTGCATGAAGAACTTCCAGTGGACTTTTTCTTCTCCCAGCCAAAGCTAAATGATGTGTTTTTACTTGGGACCTGTCTTTTTAGCACTATGGTATGTGGCTTGTTGAAATAACTGGGAAGTTTCTGGCAAGAGGAAGCTTGTATCACTAGAAATTCAGTTTACCTGTCAGTCTGTTTTTGAACCACAGGGTGATGTTCTGGAAAAAATGGAACCGTAACAGGAAGAAAAAATTCAGTGATTGATATGCTAATATTACTTCTCCCGTATGGCGTTCTTGCAAAGTCGCAACATTTTAAATGTGGAAAATCCTGTGTGGAGAAAGTGGTCTACTAAGATTGCTTGCCCAAATTGCTCAGTTGTGGCCTATCTGCCTGCAGGAAGGGTGGCCCAAAACCCTGGTTGCGTAATTAAGTCCCCATTCAGACCAGAGTGACGGCGTTTCAGGGGTTCTACAAAAGTTTTTTGTTTTTTTTGTGTGTGGCGGGGGGGTTTAAATGCACGTGACATTTTCTGTTCATGTGCAAGACTGTTTTATAAGGCTTTTTTCAGCTTTTCAGTTGTCCAATGAAAAGCAGTCTCGGCAGCGAAAACGCGCTTAAAAAAAAGTGCAAAGAACGTGCTGATCGAAACTTTGCCATTGAAGTCTATAGAGCAAAACGAGCGGATATTTAGCTCATGGAATATTTTAAACAGCGGGCGTATTGGCGCGCACAATGTCCGTGAAAGGCCCCTATAGTAATACATTGGATTTTGGTTTGCATGCATTTTAGTGTGGAAAAAAACATACTAATAATACAAGTGAATATCCAGATGTGGAGCCAAACCATCTTAAATTGGTTCCTACAGATCGGTGAAGCAATGGCTGTTGTCAGTCAGGGCAGCCTAATCCCAGCATAAACTTAGTGGAGGGTGACGCCAACTTCAGATGGAACAGTGTTGAGTGTGATATTGAATGGGTGGGATTGCCACATCTGCTTTTGATTGCGGTCCCCAAAAAACTCAAGATTGGTTCTTCATAGAGAAGTGCAGCCTTTGTGCGTATAACTAGTTGTAGGCTTGTAGTTGTAAAACTGTGCGTTGTAAAACTGTGCGTTCATGTGTCAAGTTGAAGTTGCCGAAACCTCATCAGAGATGCCCCAAACGGGACCCCTCTTTATGAAATGCTAGGTAAATAATCAAGGGGTCTTCTAGGGAAGGATTGTCAGGTGGAATGGGCTTCTTTTTTTTTTTTTTTTAAAGTGTTAAAAACCCACAGTAAAAGAACAAGGAGTATCAAGTTAAAATGCTTAGATTGTTAAATGTTCATTTGCTTCATATCTGTGTAAACTTCTGATCATACTTGCTTTCTAATAAGTATAATTCAGGCTTATGTAATTTTTTTTTCTTTTCAGTTGGTCAGCATTGGTTCTTCCTATAACTATGGAAATGAGGACCAGGCAGAATTTTTGTGTGTGGTCTCCAAAGAGTTACACAATACCCCATACGGCACAACTAGTGAACCTAGTGAAAAGGCAAAGGTAAGTTCTGTCTATTCAATCTACCCTAAACTGTTTTGTTTTAATGAAATGTTCCCGCATGGATGTAAAAAGAGCATGTGTGCGTGTGTAAATGATGCGAAGCTGAGTGGACCTGCCCATTCAGAAATGTCAGCTGCCATTGCTTTCTTGGGTGTTTTTTTGGAAGATGAATGGCCTGGGGCAGTCATCTTTATTCTTCCTTCACTAAATCATGCATGAACTGGGATAAAAAGCATTTGCATATCAGGTGTCAGCACAACTAGGATGGCGGCTATTTAAGTAGTGAAACAGAGACGTATGACTGCCTGGGGCCTTGAACCTATAAAAGCAAGTTTGCATTGGCAGCTATTAACTGGCAGGTATACTTTATGCATACGGTATGGACATAGTTGGCATTTCTGTCTAAGACTGTCACACACAAGGTTTATTTTAGATGTATCCCCCCCACCTGCCTTTTTTTCTTTTCTCCAAAGACTGTAGTAAATTCCTAGAACAAAGATTTGCGTAATGTCCTGACATCTTGTTGTGGAAGTAGAGCAGTTTTCCTTTGCCATGCTACGGTTCTTAAGGCCTCCAATGCTAAAAGCTTTGTAGGTGTTTTTAGCATCTGGCAAGCAACACCCTGCTGTCTCAACCCCTTTCCATGTCGAGTGTTTAATGAGCCCCACAATTTGATATTGAATTCTGCATTCAGCATTGCAACCGTCTAAATGCAGTGTTGAGCTGCGCAAGGGTTTTATTTCAGCAGTACCCCGCTACAGAAGCAAAATGAGTGAAGCTGGATGCATGTCTAAACATGTCGTCATAGTCTATAGGGTCATTGCTGGTCTTCCCCACCCCATTGCTACAATTATAATTCAAGCCCTTCTTGAACATACCAAATGCAAGTCCTCATAGTTTACCACTGATGTGACATTTCATTTTGGAATTTTTGATGATCTTTAGCCACCGTAGCTTTTCCTTTTACTTTTGTGGTTTATATACACTGAGTGGCCAGATTATTATGACCACCTGACATTTGTAGGCAAATTAGCTATTATTGGCAATTTCGTGCTGAAGTTGCTAGAGGGCCAGGCCATTATAAATAGGGAAGCAGGTTGTCTACCACGACAGTAGAAGTTATATTTTTCTGAAGATATGATTAAACAACGTGATTGAACAGCCTTTGAACGTGGGATGATTGTTGGCGCTTGGAGCCATGGAGTGAGTATCGGCAAAACAGCAGAATTTGTTCATTGTTTCAGAGCAGCTGTTAAAGTGTTTTGAAGACTGGACTGTCAGCCGAAAATCTGGGTCTGAACGTGCGAATTGTGGCCGTCAGCGACTAGTCAATGTTAGGGCAGAACGGAAAGTGGCAAGACTGGTACAAGACAACAGAAGGGCAACAGTGCAGTGTCAGATTCCTCGCACCACTTTTCAACATGTCGTGGAGTCATCTCGTGGCCCAGCCAAGTACTGATGGGGTGGTCATAATAATCTGGCCACTCAGTGTATATGTCAAGGGATGACTTCTATACTGCCCAGAATTTAACGCCTTACTGCCTTTCAGAAATGAATGTCTTGTAATACAGCCAGCTGATGGCGCTTACTTTGTATCACCTTTGTTGGTTTTTTTAATACTAGTGAACTGTGTTGGCAACATATGTAACCTTTGGATGGTAATGTAAATATTCCCTAAGTTTTATATATTTTGATTGACTATAGGCTATGTAGCTTTTATATTTTAAACGGACCCCTTGCACCACTAAACGTTAGTCATGGCAATAAACCAGGGACCATTTTTTTTTCTTCCTATTATTGCTCTGTCTTAATAGGCAGCATGCACAAATAAAAGATCTGTCTCCATCTCAAATTACTTGCTCAGCAGAATCGACTGTAAAGAGTGAACATGAGTTGCCCAAACTGGAATAGCAGCACCTTCAGTGCTGGCCATGAGCAGATTAGATATGAAGCCACCACAGTCCCTTAATTGGCCACATTGCTTGTGTAAAACATGTACTATTATTTTTATTTTTTAACTGTAGCAATCTGAAATAGCAACAACACCATAACCCCTAAAAACAATAAAAATTCCACACCACTAATAAAGAATATAAACCAACAATGGCATGTATATAAAGATTTCAGTTAGACAATATCAATTAATTGCACTTATAAACCCCAAAATGGCTCCGCGAGAGCAGCAATCTGGGGAGAACCCGAGTTCTATGAATATAACACAATGTATGCTTAACACCAATAGTATCCACAAAGATAACCAAACACAAATGTTTATAAAATGGCCCATATAGCAAACAACTGAACAAAGTAACACAGTAAGTAAGGTTGAATAAAGACAAGTGTACATCCAGTTCAACCTATGTGTGTATGATTGTGTGTCTGTGTATACATGTCGCTAACACTTCCCATATCCCTGAATATTAAGTGAAAGAAGAAACTCCTCAAGAAGTTTCTTGAAGTTATCATCCTAACCAATATTTCCTTTTTATTAGTTTTATATTTTTGCAGTATACGTGCGGGTATTGCAAAAGAGAGAAGTGGCAAACTTGTAAGATCCTGGCAAGTCCATGCCCATGTATTTTCTCTCTCTCAGCAGCAGCTAAGCATTCTCTGAGTGAGAGAGAAAGGACTTTGTATGTGTGGGGTTAGGCAAACAGCGTTCTCCTAGCCGAGTGCTTGTTCATGAGCTGGACCCACGCATCCAATGGTCAGTCCGTGCTACCACTTAGTCTGGATACATTGGGGGAGCCCACAGGAACAGCATTAATAAAAGTAAGCATAACTTAAAAAAAAAACAAAGGCAGCATTTTATTATGGATTGTAAGAAGTAATGTTAATGGATTTTTGAAGAAAAAAAAAATAAAGGTGAGCTAATCTCTTAAAGTAGAGCAGGGGTAGGCTAGAACTCCTGAAATAAGCTAGATTTTTATTGTGTGTGTTACTTTGCAGATATTTTTTTTTTTTTTTTTGTCAGTTCTTTCTGGTAAAACCATTTGTTACCGGGACAGGGGAGGGAAAACTCTTCAGATAGTAGTGGAAAACCCTGACTGGGGTTCTAATCCTTCCTCATTCTATCCTAAACTGAAAGAGGTTTTGGCTTGACATACACTTTAATACTACAGCATGCAAATACATTTTAGATCATTGTGCCCTTCAGCCTAGTTTGGGGAAGGTCCTTTTCTGTTCCAGCATGACTAATCTTGAATTGGAATGCCGATTTTTCACTCCGGGTATTCTCATCCAACAACCGTACTGTACCTCGCCTCACAAATGCTCTTTACTGGCACAAATTCTCATAGGCCACTCCAAGCTTGTGGAAAGCCTCTTGAGAAGAGCGGAGGCAGTCTTTGGTTTCAAAGGGCTGGAGAGTAACACCGTATTCATACTCATGGTTTTGGAATGGGGTGTCTCGACGAAGTCATATAGGTGTTAATACAGGAATTTACAAACGTTTGGCTACAGTAAACTCCCAGTTATCTGGCACCCGATGGGATCGGTAGGTTCCGGATAACTGTAGTTTATCGTTGCTTGAGGACAATCAAGTAACCCATATGTCTTTTCTTTTTTTTTTTTTCTCCTTGGTTGCTTGAATGTCATATAATGGAGAGTTTACTGCATATGGTGTATAAACTGTATCCATTTTGATGCACAATACCTAATACTGTTTTCACTAATGGGAATGTGTACTGGTAAAGGCATCTTTGGTAAAAGAAAGAAAAGCATAGCTTAGGAGCGCCTGCAAAAACATGCTATTAATCTTCCCAACCCTATTGTAAATTGTAACTGTACTGTCTCCACTATTTTTTGTAAAGCGCTGAGCAAATTGTTGGCGCTATATAAATCCTGTATAATAATAATAACACCCAAGAATATTCACTGAACACTGCAGGGCTTCATGTCACTTTACATAGACTAATGCAGCTATAGCGTTTTCTTATAGACATGTCTGTGATGCCAATCACACACTGCTATTGTATGCTTGTAACCTCCCCTGACTAACATTTTTCCCTCTCTTGCATGGTTTTTCTGCTTTCACTTACTGTTTTTCTTTTCATTCCTTTTCTTTGCTCATGCATGCTGCATGCTGATACAGAGTGAGGACGAAGAGACGGATTACGATATGAATGACTCAGATTAAGTTTTAATATGCTGGTGAGCACTGGCTTTCCTAAAACCCCCAGTGACCTTCCCAGAGCTGCTCCTGACCCGTCTCCATCCCACCTCAATAGCTCCCTCTAGAGAATATTGCATTCTTGACATGCCATGTTGAGTTTATTCTGTAAAAAGGGTACTAGATTTTGAATCTTCCAAAACATTTATTTGAATTGCATGTTGAAATGTTTGAGCTGATACAAAAAAAAGACACTGCACCAATACCATGATGTGGTACTTACCTCTGTAGCCAGTGAGATGCCCGGCGTAATACTAGAAGTCTAATGATCTGCCTTTCTGGTTTCTTTTATGATGCTGATGTCCCTTCACTAAACCAAACCCTTCCTGCCCTCTGGTCTTAGTGTGCTTATACAGATGCTTTTTCTTAAACGTAAATTACAGGACACAGGAGTAGTATCCAGAAACTTGGACTTTCTTCTTTTTTTTTTTTTTTTTTTCTCCTACCAGCATGATTCTTCAGCAGCTGATGAGCCAGAGGTCACTGAGGAGAAGCCAGTTGATGCATTTGCTGTCATTTTTAAGTTGTCAGGCTTTTGTCCTGGGTGCTCTACTGCGATTGCCTTTCCGGAAAGCTGTACCACAGCACAGTGATCCTCTGGTGGCTCCCTGCTGCCTACAGTGACTTGCCCCAGAAGGCGTAAACCTTCTTGCTCTGCAGTGTATGGTCTTTGGTACCCTGAGTGGGACATTTCTCACTCTATGGTGGAACATGGGTGCAATGAGGGGGGTGGAGACTGGTGTTTTTCTCAGCAATAGCTTATCAAAGAAGTTCCTGAAGAAGTGGGCTGTCCTGGTCATAGACCCAGCCATTTCCTGTCTTAACAAAA